TTCATCTACAATGTTCTTGGCTCCCTTCTCATCAGTGCATGAGCCACACTGCTCCATGTCTGCACAGGGGCTGTGAAGAAATTCTCCCTGATCTTCTGACCTAATGGGGGTTTCTCCATCACTGCAGCCTGATGTTGCAGCTGGTATCACCTCTGCTTCTTCTTTCTGTTCCCCGGCAACGTCAGAACTGTTCTGATCATCTACAGCACAAAAAGGAGTGGATGAGGCTGAAGGTTCTGGACTGGGAGACCTTGTTCTCTCTGATGTGCCAGGGGAACACAAATCTCCCTCTGTCCCCGTTTCATTCTTCTCAGTTTCTGGAGAAACTTCAGGTGCAGGACTGCTCCCTGCCGAGACCCCGTTCTGATGTGGAACCACAGTCGACTCTGAATCACAGGTTTTGTTTGAAGGAACCACTTTAAAAGTGGTCAACTGCCGCCTCTGCAACGGATCCTCCCACTCATTCTCCGTTGGGAGATCAGCTTTAAGAACAGACTCGTGCTCTGAACAGAAACTTCCGTCATCTGGACGCTTTGGAGTCGTAGACATGTAGGAGGAGACGGGGAAATTTGGGAAGCCAGCAGAGTTCCTCAAACGTGTGACCAGCAATCCTTTGGACACTGAAGACGTCAGGACTCTGGCGAGTGCGCTGCGGGCATCGGATAAGTCTTTCCCTCGAAATGAAGGCATGAAGGAATCGGCTACTTGGTGGAGATGAGTCAGTGATGGACGAGAAGACAAGGACGGCTGCGCCTGAGACGAACGAGGGGACGAAGATGAGGATGGCGACAGGCGTACAGAGCATGACTCGGCAGTTTTGTTCAGCTCTTCCAGAGAGCTCAGAGACTCTGGTTGAGGAAAAACAGAAAGAATTACCATTTTCATATAGGATTATTAAGTGTTCAGTTCAAATATCATGAAGGAAAAGTGTATTAATATTTTTGGGAGCTTTGGAATGTCCAACAAGAAACCATGACCTTAGGGGTTGTAGAAAAAAAAAAAAAAAGTCTGGAATGGCCTGAAAAAGATTTTGTTGTCCAACTAAATAAATGCCTTGGCCATGAATTCATACTAACCCAAACAATGTTTAAACCTTCTCCGTATCAGCTGGATGTTGTATGAAGAAATCTGGAGCGGCAGAAATGTATTAGACTGTTACAGGGCATGAGTGAGAAAAGTGGTGCATGTGAGGACAGCAGGACTGTGGGTAGGTGCTGTAGGAGTGACTGATAGCTTCAAGGTGGAGGTGGGAATGCATCAAGGATCTGCTCCGAGCCCCTTCTTGTTTGCTCTGGTGATGAACCGACTAACAGATGAGGTCAGGCAGGAATCCCTGTGGATTATGATGTTTGCAGATTACATTTTGATCTGTGGTGAGAACAAGGAACAGGTGGAAGAGAACTTGGAGAGGTAGAGGTATGAACTTGAAAGAAGAGGAATGAAAGTCAGCCGTAGCAAAAGTATAAGTGCTATGTGTTGTCATCATTGTATGGGAATATACAATGACGAAATAAGTTCTCTGCATGAGATACACCCAGGTAGAGCAGTGGGCAGCTATGCAAGCGCCTGGGGAGCAATTATGGATAAGGTGTCTTGCTCAGGGATGCCATGACGTGCGCAAATGGCAGGAAGTCCAAGCGTGACTTTCTGGTCCCAAGTCGGCTGCCCTACCTCTACCCCATCTCGGTCCCCTAGCAGGACAGAAAATGTGTGAATGGGAGGGAAGCAGGTGGACCGGTGAGGCTACATGGAGCATAGGCCACAAAGGTGAAGGACTTCCAAGTACTTGGAGCAGACTGTCCAGGCAGGATGGAGTGAATGGAGAAAAGTTTCAAGAGTGATTTGTAACAAAAAGGTGTCAGTACAGGTCAAAGGAAAAGTTTACAAGACAGTGGTGAGACCAGCTATGTTGTATGGTCTGGAGACAGAAACATGGGTAAAAAGACAGGAGAAAGAACTGGAAGTGGCAGAAATGAAGATGTTGAGGTTCTCCTTAGGAGTGAGAAGGATGGATAAGATCAGGAATGAGATGATCAGAGGTACGGCACAGGTTGAACAACTGGGAGATAAAGTTAGAGAGACCAGACTGAGATGGTTTGGACATGTCCAGAGGAGGGACAGTGGATATATTTGTAGAAGGATGTTAGAGATGCAGCTGTCAGGGGTTATGTGTATAAAATTGGCTATAATATAAATAAATGTGTCTTGCCAGGAAAAAGAAGAGATACTGTATATGGGTGCAGTTAGACAGGACATGGAGGTAGTTGGAATGAGGACAGAGACTGGCTCAAAGAAAATGTAGAAGATTTTTTTATCTACTGTAGAACGCTTCAACAATGTTGTCTAAATGGGTCTTAATGCATTTAAAAGTTAAAGCTTTCTTGTTTGGGGTTGAAAACAGAAGCTCTCCATCACTTCCTTCAGGCAAGAGAGTCGGTGCAGGAAGGAGAAAAATAAAGATGTCACAGATTTTTGGAATGTTCAGCAATAAAGATTATCCGGCCTCTGAAGGTTCAAGTCATGTCAGCTTCCCGAGTTTCAGTCTACGAGGGGGAGACGAGGAGTTTGTTTACCGACCATCAAATCTTGGCCGAGAGTTGTTTTTACCAGCTCAGCAGTGTGTCGCGTTATTAGCTTTCAAAGAAAACAATGGAGTGGAGATGTTGGCTTTTAATGGGAGCAGTACACAAACCCATACCGTTAGCAGTCTAATAATCTAAATACTGTTACTTAAAGTCTGCTTCTGTGTGCCTTGCTTCTTATTGATTGCTTTCACAGACCTCCTGGGGGGGCATAGATTAATACAGGGGAATGACAGCTTGGACAGAAGAGAGGTTTATCTGAGAACAGAAGCCAATATGTTCCATGAACAAGAGCGCGGGTCACTTTGATCGCCATGAACAGGGTTAAACTGTTCGCTCCGATATAAGCTACGCTGGATTTAACCGCTCCGTCTTCAATTCGAGGCCAGCTGCAGTGACATTTTAGTCTTCGTTTCAACGGGAAGCTCTGACATCACAAGGCGCCGAGTGAGGCGGTGAAGATTCTGCAGATACACTAATTTAGTGCTTAAAGTCCATTTGGTTTCTACTTGAACGCTGTGAAAAAACTCATTTGGGCACTGAATACGTTTTTTTATCACAGTTGGATAAAGATCTTACCTTTAGCGTCAGCTCGTGCACTCTGCTCCTCGTGTGTGTTTGTACAGGGAGGAGGCGGAGCCCTCCTTTTGGTACTCCTTACAGTGATTTCTGCTGACTTCTAAAAAAAACAAGAAGGGGAACACGTTACTGGAGGATGGCTGTTTTTGCAGTTTAAATGGAGCGTTTCTGCCGAGCTTGCACTTCTTGTCCACAACATTGATTTAAAAACTAGACGTCTAAAGGGAACTTGGAAGTTGAAGCCATAACGAAACTAGTATTGCTCCCTCCGTGTAAAGTAGCAGGACTTTTTCCAGGTGTTGCCTCCTGTTGATGTGTACTTTTTAACCCATGTCGAAGCAGGAAAGTAAGTAAAACGTGCAGTACAGTGGCCCTCGAGGACAAGGATTGGACATCCGTTTTCAGGAAAAAATCTATGAAATATTCAGAACGTGAACTGTGACCTCGCAACTTGCGAGGGTCGACTAGCAGCTCGACGTTCACTTCATCTCAGACTGAAAATCTAAAAAATATTTAAAGCAACCAAAAGGGTCGCATAGAGAAATGGAAAATTTAAGACTTTCTCCAGGACTTTTCTTGATATAGCATAGTTAGCATGCTTGATTAAAAAAAAAAAAAAAAAAAAAGTATTCGTAATAGGCCTGTCACGATAAACTTTGCTGGGCGATTGTCCCAGGAATTATTGCGATAAACGATATTATTGTTTAAAATTTGACAATAGTAATTATTGTCAAATTTAAGAAGTGTTGGTTAATTTGTTTCGAGTGTAGTACCATTGTTTGACCATGGGATGGCAGTATAAGACTGAACCGAAGGATGGATAGTGAGGGAGTGAGCAGCGTGTCCTTAAGAAAAATGTGAGGGAGGCCCTTTGATGTGACATGGGCTGTTCCTCCTTCCTTTTTTTCATCTCTCAAAATGGCGGACGCTCGGTGCGGTTTGAGATCTTTAGCATAGCATTTGTCACACAAAGCTTTTAACAACAACAACAACAACAACAACAACAACAACAACAACAACAACAACAACAACAATTTAAAAAAAATTAGTAAAGTTCTCAGCTTCTTTTTTCAGACAAAAACAACTTACGGTTTTCAACTGTGAATTTTGGAGCTTCGACAAGACGTAGGCTTTTCCTCCCCGAGGGCGGCCTGTTAGCTTAGCTCGTAGCTTAGCTTCTCAGCTTAGCTGCTTTTAACGATCCAAAAATGTGATTTTGGATCGTTAAAACAGATTTTAAAGAGAAAAGGAGGGGTCAGTGAAAAGCACCGGAGTTGAGCCTTTTGTCATCAGGATTCTGTGGAGCTGTCAACCCGTCTAAAAATAAAAGTTTAATGAAAATAATCAGTATTTTGAAGGTTTTGCACTGCAGGCTCAACTCATCAGGACTCGTTTAGCCAACACGGGTCACATTTATTGGGACATGTGGGAACATGTGCAGAGCTAAATATCTTCTGTAATTTAAAATGGACTTTGGCACCTAGTGAGGAGACATCGGTACATCAGCCGTCATGTCTACAACGCCCTGGTGGAAACAAAAAGACAAGACCTTCCTCCAGCAGCCCTCACCTGTGTTTCGTCCACGGGGCAGCTGCTCAGGTTGTTGGGGACACTCTGAGAGACGGGCGGCGGGGGCGCTCGCCTCTTTTGGGGCACTTCTGCAGGCAGGGTGTTCGTAAACGAAACGCTCGCTGGATTCACGCCGACTCCCGCTCGTTCGCAGAGTCCCGGAGACGACGGCGCGCTCACCGTCCCGTGCTGCCACAAGCCAAACGTGCATTCGTACCGTTAAGAACATTCAGGTAAAACCAGAAGTGTGTCCTGCGCGCTCGACGTACAGTTTCAGGTTTCCTCCTCCTCCTGAAGATGCTGAAGAAGCCTCGGCTCTTTTGCTTCTTGGCCTTTTTTGGCACATCTGTAACGTTCAGTCATCAGTAGACAGCAAAGAGCTAAAGAACAACGTGCACGTGAACCTGTGTGCGTTACCTTGCAGTGGACGTGAGAGGACTTCTGTGGGTGTGACAGCTGCTGAAAGGAACATTAATAACCAACAAATTATATTTAGTTAGAATGAAGCAGAAGAAACATTTTAAAAAGAGCAGACGCAGCGTTTCTGTTTTTTGTGTGGAAGTTTATTCAGCCTTCATGTCGTCCTCTAATTAATTTAATTTTAGATTATTTTAATTTAAAATTTTTAATTTTACACCGTTTGCACTCATTTAAATTTTTTCCAGCCTAATTCATCAATAATGTGCTCTCACTTGATTCTGGTCATTTTGGCTTCTTTCAGCTTTTTTTTAGCTTTTATTCAGCTGTTTCTCTTTTGAATTTTTGCTTTTTTCAGATCATTTCTACTGTTTTGGTGCCAATTTCTGTTTCATTAATCCTAACTGGGTACAATTGTGCTCTTCTGGTTATTAAATTCTTCCTGCTTCTTTAGCTACTATTTTGCCGTTTTCATGCCAATTTTAGCTTTTTCAGGTAATTTTACATTTTTTGCACTCATTTAAGACTTTTTTCAGCTTAATTAATCAAAAATGTGCTCTCTCCACTTCCTTCTGGTAATTAAAGCTTCTTTAGCTACTATTCAGCTGTTTTTTTTTATTGCAAATGTCTGCTTTTGTCAGATATCACTTTTTTGTGCTCATTTCTGCTTCTTTCAGTCTACTTGGGCATAATTGTGCTCTCTCCACTTCATTCTGATAATTTCAGCTTCTTTAGCTACTATTCAGCCATTGCGTTTCCTTTAACAGACCTGTTTCAGCTGTCCTGAGCTGATAATCGGTGGCGTCCTTGGCCGCTTTGTCTTCGGCGAACACCTCCCTCAGTCCGTGGTCATTTAAGCTCTTGGTCAAGTCCAGCGGCTCGTTGGACTCGGAGTCCCTCAGAAGGACGGTTGTCTGGACGTTAAAGTCGCACTTGTCACACACGGCTGGCAGCAACGTCTCCAGCGGCAGAGTGGGATTCACTCGTACCACCGTCTTGTGGGACGTATTGTAGTTGATCAGCAGACGTACAGTTGCCTGCAAACAGAAATGGGTTTTCTACTAAATTCTTACACCCATCTTGATGTTCTTTCCTCCCCCTCCCTCACCTCAGGCATGTATGGCTTCTTGGTTTTTTCCTCGGCTCCTCTGGGCTTCAACACGATCTGCTCCGCTTCAAGCGAGCCAATGGGAGAGTTGGGCTTGAAGCTGATGTTGTTCTTGTTGGGTGAAAGAAACTCAATGGTGTAGTCCGGAAGGTTCAGATGGTAACTCGAGCAGAGCATCACCAGTACGTCCATGACCGGTTTACTAAGTAGAGAATGTCATCCAGTTAAATACATGTACAGTAGTCCCTCAATACTTCGCGGTCTCACTCTTTTAGGGGATTTCAATGTATGATTGTACACGACACACAACTGGCAATGGAGAAAGACAGAACCCACCCTCCACCCCCTCCTTTCTCTTACTGAGGCCATCTGTCACAGCAGAGACGACAGCCTCAGAAAGAGAAAGGAGGGGGCGGAGGGTGGGGTCTGTCTTTCCCCATTGCTATTGCTCAGGGAGCTTCAGTGAGGCGGATGCCCGAGTGAGCGATGGATTGTTTATTTTAAATAATCAAGCACGACCTAAAGCGAGCCTTTGGTCCAGCCCCTTGGTGATCACCAAGCGGGCCAGGCCACCGGGAAGTGTCCCAGTGCTCCTGATGGCCAGTCTGCCCCCAGTGGAATGCTAAAAAGTGATGGTCTGTCAAAAACCAATTGGCGCCACAGGAGCTTTTTTGACGACTAGTGCATTTATTAAGGAAAAAGTACCATCTTTTCTGGCGTATAAGTCCGTTTTTTTGCATAGATTTGCCAGTCCTGTGACAAATATGCTGAAGTGACTTCTATAAAAAGGTTTTTTTTTCCCCGTATGTTTTTCCTGTACAGCTACCTTCGCCGCCACCCCCGCCCCGCCAAACATTGACCATTAAAAGTGCATTTATAAAAAGGAAAAAAAAAGTCAAACTGAGACAAACCTTTGCTAAAATGTCCATCCATCCATCCATTTTCTTCCGCTTATCCGGGGTCGGGTCACGGGGGTACCAGCTTAAGTAGGGAGGCCCAGACTTCACTCTCCCCAGCCACTTGGGCCAGCTCCTCCGGGGGAATCTCGAGGCGTTCCCAGACCAGCCGAGAAACAGTCCCTCAAACTCAGCTCTCTCTTCACCAAGACAGACCTGTACAGCGCCCGCTTCACTGCAGACGCTGCACCTAACCGCCTATTGATCTCACGCTCCATTTTTCCCCTCATTCGTGAACAAGACCCCAAGATACTTGAACTCCTCCACTTGGGGCAGGACCTCCTCCCTAACCCGGAGAGGGCACTCTACCCTTTACCGGCTCAAGACCATGGCCTCGGATTTGGAGGAACTGATCTTCATCCCGGCTGTGTTGCACTCTGCTGCGAACCGCTCCAGCGAAAAATCTATATCACGATCTGATGAAGCAAACAGGACCACATCATCTGCAAAAAGCAGAGACACGATCCTAAGGCCACCAAAACGGATCCCCTCAACACCTTGGCTGCACCTAGAAATTCTGTCCATAAAAGTTACGAACAGAATCGGTGACAAAGGGCAACCTTGGAGAAGTCCAACACTCACCGGGAACGAGCCCGACTTACTGCTGGCAATGCAGACCAGGCTCTGACACCAGTCATACAGGGACCTAACAGCCCGTATCAAAGGGCCTGGTACCCTATACTCCCAGAGTACCCCCCACAGGGTTCCCCGAGGGACGCAGTTCAACGCCTTCTCCAAGTCCACAAAGCACATGTAGACCGGTTGGGCAAATTCCCACGCACCCTCCAGGACCCTGCTGAGAGTGTAGAACTGGTCCAGTGTTCCACGACCAGGACGAAAACCGCACTGCTCCTCCTGAATCAGAGGTTCGACTATCCGATGGACCCTCCTCTCCAGAACCCCTGAATAGACCTTACCAGGGAGGCTTAAGAGCGTGATCCTCCGTAGTTGGAACACACTCTATGGTCCCCCTTTTTGAATAGGGGGGCCACCACCCCGGTCTGCCAATCCAGGGAACTTCCCCCGATGCCCACGCAATATTGCAGAGTCGTGTAAGACGACACAACCCTACAACATCCAGAGCCTTAAGGAACTCAGGGCGAATCTCATCCACCCCTGGGGCCCTAAAATGTCAAGCAAACAAATAATTGTTTGTTAATGTTAATCTTGTTAAATTTTGAAGAACTGCAACAGCGAGTCCTCACGTTCGCGCTCCCGCAGCCAATCGATTTTCGGCACGACACCGGCCCACGTTTCCCAGAGGTCAGCGGTGACGCATAATAAAACGTGACTTATACGCCGAAGCAACTTATGTTTAGTCCCCTCTTCATGATGCTTTGACTGATGCGACTTATACTCCGGACAGACTTATCCGCTGGAAAATACGGTAAACGGAGACTCACCTTTGCTATAATCTCGAGCAAACAAATAATTGGCTTTGGGTGTTAATCTTGTTAAATTTTGAAGAACTGAAACAGCGAGTCCTTTCGGGCGCGCTCCTGCGGCCCATCACTTTTTGGCACGACACCAGGATTGGCTCAGTAACCGTAGCATCAGTCTGTTTGCTCTCGTTCGCTGTGCTGTTTTAGAGCGTTTAGAACATTGCAAGAGTTCATAAAGCCTTAAAATATCTACATAAATACTAAAACAAATATAGCATCCCTACTCTGTGGATTTTCACCTATTGCTGGCGTGTCTGGAACGCAACTCCCACAATAAGTGAAGAACTACTCTATTTACGTTTCAAGTCTTCTAGAACGCAACCAGAACGTCGAGTAAAATACCTTCCGTGCACTGTGATGTTCTTCTTCAGTCCCTCAGGGAGAACCACACACAGGGAGTGATCCCTCTCCAGAGGATTCACGTGCTCCTCCATTTCAGAGGTCATCAAGGTCAATCAGGAGGCCACCCAGGATCTGGTGTTGTACCAAACGTCAGGTAAACCTCACGAGAAAAAGGATTTTCTACCAATACTCATTCATGACAGTAAAAATGGATGAAACACAGATGAGTAACTTTTTCTTTCCGCTGCTCCCTTCTGCAGGGATCGCCACAGAGTGAACGAGCATCAAACTTTTAGTATTTTGCGCCTCGTTACATCACGTCCGGGTTGCATAAGAAGGTGCTACGTGAAAGGGTCTTCAAAGTGGGACAGGTGGGAACAAAGATACAGAAACCCAACCCTGTTGTAATGATTGTTTAATTTATTAATAATAATAATAAAAATAATAATAATAATAATAATAATATTTGAACCACCTCCAATCCCATTCAGTCCCTAGTTGCATGAGCATTTTTTTTTTATTATTCTGACTTTACTTAATATTGAAACTCTGAGATTAAAGTCAGAATTCAAAGAAAACTTTAGAAATCTTATATTTCATCCAGCTGCAGTGTTAAAGATTGACCAGCAGATGGAGCCATACTTTATGGCATGAAATGGTTTGAACTGAATCATTAACACAGTTGCTTCATATGGACTCAATTTTCCATCACTACCTTCAGGCATCTGGAAATTAAACCCAAACATGAACAAAAAACGATTCTCTTCCTGATATCTCAGCTGATTCTCCCCCCCATGATGCCACACAATGAAAATGTACAATGTGCCTCCAATTAATTCAAAAGTTGCCAACTAACCAAACCTTCCAAAGCTATGAAGTCACCACCCCAGCGTTCATCAACTCAGGGTTTCCCAACCCTGGTCCTTGAGGAACACCATCCAGCATGGTTTAGTTGCTTCTCTGCTCCAACACACCTGATTTGAATGAACTGGTGATTAACAGGCTTCTGCAGAATTTTGAAGTAATTAAATCACTGTGTGCGTTAAAGCAGAGAAACAACTAAAATATGCAGGACGGTGTTCCTCAAGTTACAATGTTGGGAACCACTTTATTATAATTGTACTAAAGCATAAAAACGTGCGACTTAAGAGTGAAGTCCTCTCTTTAAGCAATATTAAAGTGGTTAAACGTTAGTTTGCAAACCTGTGAATATGCTCTGATTTAAAAGCAGAAATTATAAATATGTAAAGTCGTATTTAGATTTAGCAATTTACAGAAATTATTCTGAACACGAAGCCTTTTTCTAATAATCCTGTAATCCCACAACAAAATACTTTCCCCTGAATGTATTAAACTCTTAAATATTACAGATTTGTAGCAGAATTTACCACCTTAACATAGAAAAACTACTAATAAAACACTTTTTGGTTCGTTTTAACGCTAATTTTACCTCAGATTAAGCGCCTCAAATGTTAAACAGAGCAGGAAATTATATTTTGGCGTTTTTTTTCTTTCTCTCTCTCTAAAAGATGACAGAACTCACCGACAAGTTGTTAAAAAAAAAAACTTTCAAATGGACTCGGACGATTTTCCAGAGGCAGCTTCGTCAAACGGTTATTTGCTGTTAGCCAACAGCCTCCGGGCGTTTTAAGCTAGGAGCTCAGCAGCGCGTGTCATCCTCAAACAAACAGCTGCTCATCAGGATGCGCGTGCCACCGTACGGTTCAACTGTGGCGCATGCGCACTAGTGCAATACCTGAGCTGGAAATTTCGGTTCATTTTTTATAGATTCGACTAAAGTGATTTGGTTCATTTGAATCGCTCATGTACCACCCACAAAATAAATAAATAAAATAAAATAAAAAAAATTTGGAAATTATATATATAAAGTAACCAAAATGTCAATTTATGTAAAATGTATATTTTGGGTGAGTTTTTAACCTAATCACGGACCTGAGTCAACACTTTTGGCGAGTCTTTAACATGACTCGGAGATTCGATTCACCTGAGTTTATAGTTTCTGAGATGCCTTTAAACCGAATTCGAGACTTGTTTGAGTCAGCAGCTGTTCCAGAGAGTCTTTAATTAAGATCAGAGACTCGACTTTTCTGATTCTACTAGTTTTTTGGTGAGTTTTGACCAAAATTCAGAGGCCCGATTCATCTCTGCAGCAATTTTTTTGTTGTTGTTTGCTTGTTTGTTTTTGTGAATATGGTAACTTTAGAGTTTTAGCCATTTTTGTGTTTTTAAGTTTAGTTGTTGTGGCAGCCATTTTCAATCATGTTGGCCTCTAAACAGGTCTCTCTTGTAAATGAGGCTCAATGGGACTACCTGTATAAATAATGGTTGAATGAATTCCTTAGTTAAATAACTTTTACTAATTGACTTTATGATTCATTTATATGTGAACGTCTCTGTTCAGTGCCTTGAGATAACGTCTGTTGTGATTTGGCACTATACAAATAAACTGAATTGAATTTAAAGTAAATCAGTTGTAGTTGTAGATCCCTGGCCTTTGACACCACCTGTAATGTTGACGTTTAATTATTTTAATTGCTCTTTATTATCTGATTGTACAATCCTTTTATTATTATTATATGTACAACACTTTGGTCCTATGAGTGTTTAAAGTGCTCTATAAATTAAGCTGGTATGGTACGTGCATCACTAATTACACCTTGTAACTTTCAATAATATTTGTCAAGTGGTTAATGAGGTATTTTGCTAACAGACAGACTCAGACTTGTCCTTAGCCATATTGTTCCAGCGTTCAGATAAGCTTACTCTTTCTTGAGTAACAGGGATTAAAGCTCTTAAAAGTCTCTTCATGTCACCACATTTAGAAACAGCTATGTTGATGTACCCGCGGCGTTTTCAACTTACCCGTGTCCGTAGACGGCCCCCATGCTCGTCCAGTGTTGAGGTACGAAGTGGCAGCAGGAGAGTGGTACAGGGAGCAGGAAGGAATTCTGCTTCCTTGTAATCCCTGTTTAGCAGACGAGTCCGCCTCGCCTACAGGCTCACACTCGCATGACGGCACTCCTCTCTGCATGTCTCAGTGGTGCACGAGTGCCCTATGGGTGGTGAGGGGCATCTGCACGGGCCTAAACCTGGAAAACTAGTCTGAAGAATAAAAGCTGTTCCTTTCAACCACATGAATGTTAAAAGCACAAACTACTGCGGTTGTACGGGCCTCTAATCTTCATAAGCTAATGATCCTCTCTGTAGGATCGAGGTAAACTGTTGCTGATCTGTGTCTGGAACACTGCGTAGTAAAGATAGGTACTGGTCGTCGTTACAAAAGAAAGCTGCTTCATGCTCGCATAAAAAAAACTAAATACATTTACGACCCAAATCTGAATAATTTGGGTCCAATGTGAATAAATTTAAAAATCCAACCAATTCCAAATCTCGTAAACCAATATTTTATTCGCAATGGAACGTAGTAAGCACATCAAATGTTTGAACTAAAAAAAAGTGTACCATTTTTCGGAAAATATAAAAATTTTTTTTTTGACAGCAAAGTCTCAAAATCGAAGACACGGCAACAAAAGGGTGCGAAACTAAATATGAATAAACCGGAGGAGTATTTTGCACTTAATTACCGTATTTTCTACCGTACACGTCATACCAGCATATAAGTCGCATCAGTCCAAAAATGTCTAATAAAGTGGAAAAATACATAAATATGTTGCTTTGCCGTATAAGTCGGATATAATATGCGTCACCACAGGCCACCCGGAAATGCGGGCCGGTGTTGTGCCAAAAATCTATTGGCTGCCAAATGGCGGCCACAGGAGCGTGCATGGGAGGACTTTAACAAGAATTTAACAAATTAACACTTAAAAACAATTATTTGTTTCCTCGAAATTTTAGCAAAAGTGTGTCTCAGTCTAACTTTTCCTTAATAAATGCAAGTAAGAAGAAGGTGGCTTTGTATGGCAAGCCAAGTGTCTCATTAATAGCCACTTTTACCTATTATTGAGACACTTGGCTTGCCATACTAGTTGAGGGCCCTCTAGTGGCTGAAAATGGTAGTGTTCAATATTTTACATGTCAGAACGAACGAAATCGTCAGATCTCAGCCAAAAAATGGGTTATAAATATGGGAAAAAAACATAAATGCGTCACTTCGCCGTATAAGTCGCAGGCATGCTAATTTATGCAAAAAATTGTGACTTATACAGCGAAAAATACGGTACACATTATCAGTGGTGGGCACGGTTCTGCTAATCCACTAATAGCGGAACTAACGTTCTGTTTACCGGAATAGCGTTTTCGCCAACTTTGAATACATATAGCAGAAATAGCTTCTGCAAAATTTAAATCTGGTAAATTCAAGTCCGCAATTTTTTTCATAAGTTCTCCGCACTAAAAGCGTACAAAAGAATGGTGAAAAACTGCGACTTATATGCCGGAAAATACGGTACATCATTTGTCAACAGATAGAAGGACTGCGTATAAAAAGAGCATTTAGAGAGGCTGACTCTCATAGAAGTAAAGATGGGTCGAGGTTCACCAGTCTGTGAAGAACTGTCTAATTATAGTGGAACAAATTCAGAATATTGTTCCTCAATCAAAAAACTGGGATAGCTTTGAATACCCCATGATTGATCTTCCTTTACTGGCATTTTGTATTGTATGTGCTTTTGTACAGTGCCCTCAGATGACATTTGTTGGGAATTAAAAGGGAATTTCCGCACACCACTTTTTAGTTTAGCATTTTTAGAACGATTAAAAACAAGTTTATTCCCCTTTTAGCTTCAGTAAACTGGATGTGCTTTGTAAAAACAAGTTACTATTCCGTTTAAAAACCAGGCTGTAGGTGACAGAATGCTAACGGGGCTAAATGCTACTATTAGCAACAGTTAGCATGTTCATGCTAAACCTAAAGCAGGAACACTGAGAAGTTAGCATTGTTAGCACGCTAGCGTACGGTTGTATTAGTTAGCTAGCAACACTGTTTAGCAGGTTAGCTAGCATTAGCACCGAGCTCGTCTATAAACAAATTCACGTCTGTGCTTCTGTTTGCTCAGTTTGAAAGCATTTTTGTTATGATTTTATTATAACTTTGTTTGTTTTAAGATGTTTTTTAACTAATTATGCTAGAATTGGACAAATAGCTGCAAGTCAGGCTGTTGTAGTGAAAAGTTAAACATCTAAGTGGGCGTTTTATTCAAATCCAGCGTGGGTAAACACATGTCCACACCTTTGGTAATCTTATAATCTCATTGTTAAGGCTGTCATTGAAGATGCAGCAGGCTTAAACAGGAGCTGCCTGGAGTAAACCGATCACTGCGCGACTGTCCAGTTTATAATAAACTTCTTCTGACGACCGTTAGAAACCGAAAGGAGTCTGTTCTGTCCCACCGCCCGGTCTGTTGCTCTGTAGCACCACTGTGTCGAGAAATAAACTAATCAGTAATCAATAACAATAAAGTGAAAGAAACAAGAAATAATTTGAGGTCACTTTGTTTTAGTTTTGATGCTTTTTTTAGTAGCGGTTAAGGTTGTAGGTTGTTCTTTTTTCCACCACACCAGTGATGAGATGGGTGACGAGACTGGTTTCTTCTTTTTTTATTTGTAGACACACAACGTTCTTTATTCTATATGGTTTATAATAAGCAGGATATATTTTTCAAATTAAAAACAATTACAAAGAGTACCAAACATTCACTTGGATCTTTTGATCAAGGACGCAACCAAGGGGGGACTGACGGGGGCAATGGCCACCTCTGAAAAATTGGTTGAAATTTGATTGTCTTTTTTTCTGAAGGTACCCCCGTTTTTAATAAATGGCGCAGAAGAATTTGTTTGACTTTTAACTTGACAAAGACAATGAACCTCTTTCTAGTGAGCCTAATTAACTATCTTTAACGTCATAAAAATGATTTGTTTGACAGCTTTTATTGAACTAATCCGTATCCATCTGCCTCCCTTGGAAAATTGCTTTGGGTGTCCAGAAATAACCCAAGAACTAAAAAACCCTGCTGTGAATTGGAAACTGCTGTGCCACAGTTTTATCAAGTTTTTACATCATCTGGGGTACCCAGAAAGAAGGTCCTGCTCCAAAAGCAACACCTTTAGCTTGATGGATAAGCTTAAACTCATCTGGAACAGTGTTTAATTGGTTAGACAAGACAACTAGAAAGTTCCTGTAGAAACTGTGACGGGGACTGCCACGTGGCAGCCGTTTTAAAATCTTGATTTGACAGGAATATGTGTTGGGGTTCGCTTTCAGCTACCACTACTCCAAATTTCAGCTTAAAATGGCAAAATATCAATGAGTTAAAGTCTTTTTTTTTTCTTTTTAAGCTATGGAGGCTATGTTGGATTTTTGATTTGGATTCAGTATGTGATAGGGAACATTCTCAGGTATAACCACACCAAATTTCATCTCTGTATGTAAAAATAGTTGCGTTAAAGCCTTTAAAATTGAGCTTTGGTGGCCATCTTGAATTTTTTTAAATTAATTACTTATTATTATTATTATTATTGGTCCCAGCTACTACCACAACAAATTTCAGTTTAATATCGCTAAAAACGGCTGATTTACAGTATTTTTCCTTTTTAGCTCAGGTGGCCATCTTGGATATTAGATTTGCAGAGTCTATGAAAAATGAATAACAAAAAATGGCATCTTCGTTTGCAAATTACACTGCCATGGTAACTCAAAACACCAATAAAAGTAACAGCGTGCATCACGGTGCCGAGCCGGTTGCTTTGACATACCATTTGTGGAGGTACACGATGCAGTTCAGGTCGCATTAACGTTGACAGAACAGTAAAGTATAAAGTTAAGAAAACCTAGTCAGGTGGATAATAATAGGTGGCTGCCTTAGGCAATCCCCAATGGTTGAGCTGTTTGTACCAACTCAAGTATGTTGGCGGTAGCATTCCACAAAGTACTAATGAAAACTACTTTCAAATTCTTTGATTTCTCTTTAAACATGGACATATATTTAGCGTTCCAACAGGACAACGATCCTCAACACGCGTCAGAACTGGTTTCTGATTGGGTAAAACAGGCTAACATTGAGCTTTTTGGAAGGCCTTCCCAAAAGTGTCTGTTTAAACGTTGAAGAAACCAACCAGTTTAAATGAACGCTCTCAATTACGCCAAGAAGAAGAATGGTCGGACATCAGCCTGAGTTTTACCAGAAACCAGTTGATGGATACCAAAAAAAGAACTATAGTTATAGAGACGATTAACCAAATATCAGTGGAGGTATATGTGAACATGTATTTTGTATAGCCAGTTCACCGAGGAAAACCAGTTCAAATAAACCCTTAATAATAATTACTATTATTATTACAAAATACATGTTCACATATACCTCCACTGATTTAAAAGACCAAATATAACATTCATGCCCGTGACGTGTGGACAGTGGAGTTGTGACGTCACAGAGTTTGAACAAAACTGTGAATTTGATCACTCTACCTCTAATGAAACCTGATGATGATCAAAATGTGATCACTGAGGATAGACGTAACTTGAAATCTGGAGTGCGCCGTACGAACGGTCCCACATAAACCCAGCTGGACATGATTTGCTTTATTTTACTGTCAGTCTTTTTTATGGTTTACATTTACCGCTTGGTTTAGTTTTAATATGACTTTTTTTTTTTGTGCCTTTAATAAAGACACTAAATAACAGCTTTGCATCAGGTTATGCTTATATCTTCATATCCATCCCGTTTTCCTCCATCTGTGCAGCGTGTTAATCCACTCAAAGCGTTTCATCTTGCATTAAAACGGCAAAAAAAAAAAAAAAAGTTAAAGATCAAGTGAAATAAACTTTGTCAGAAAGATGAAAAGCTTCAGATTTGAAACGATAGTCGAGAAAAACAAAACCGGCGGTGTAAGAAGTCAGTTATGGTCTCATGGAGAAGTGAAACTCCTCGCGCCCGTGTGAGTACGCCCAGCCCAAGGGTGGGTCGGCCTCAGCTCACACAGACCGAGCGAGGGAACCTCGTTCCTGTTTCCAAAACAGTGTTCACATTCTGTTCAAACAGTACGACTCTCAAGCGTCTGTTACTTAAAGAGGCAAACGAATGAAGCCACAGATCCATCCCACACTCTGACACCACCTTCAATGACCTTGGGGTAAAAGTGTGGCTTGATCGGTCACGTTGTTCTAAAGGAAGTCTGGCCCACTCGCTGCAGCGTTGCGCTCAGTTAAACGTGTTTCCTGCGCAGCTCTCTTGTGTTGTTTTTACACTGTCCACTCAGCATGACTCGCTTCGCTCCAATTCAACCCGACTCAGTTCTACACGCGTCAGTATTCTTACCTATAATTGACTGTTACCTAATGTTGACTGTAAGCTTACTAGCCACCAAAGGGGGGCTGGGGGGAGGGGATTCCCCCCACCACCACCACTGGCCCCTTTGGTCAGACAGTTTTATCTTGAGTCCCAAGCTTTTGTTTGGTGTGCATGTTTAATTTCCACTAGCTATTTAGGATTAATAGAACCTCGTAGACATAAAAAATAACTTTGTATTGATCAATACATATTTATGTTTGTACGTTTTTACTTTTGGACATGATGCGTAACCATAACAACAATGCTTTTTTTTTTTTTTTTTTTTTTACAACCGGGAGCAGCTGATTAACATCTCAAAAGCTCAAATACTATCTCAACTTCAGCCCCAAATCTCAAAACGAGTTGAAAAGGAGGTGCCATGGACGCATTCCCATCTACCTGCCGGCTGTGCTCGAGTGCCTGACCACTCTGATCCTAAGATCGCCTAAAGGAGATCCTGGAACTGGCAAGAAATGTAGCTCGTGACAGCAGAAGGGCTAGGATCGTCTCGAGACACCTGTAGCTGTCCGTCCGCAGCGACGAGGAGCTCGGCAGGCTGCTGGAAGGAGTGGCCACCGCTCTGGGAGGAGTTCTGCCAAGCATTCGGGCGGTCCTGCAGCCCGGGGGAACCGAGAGACCAGCCGAGTCTGGATAGACGGATCGGACAGCATCTGTGGCCAGTTTCTTCGGATCCACTGCGAGACAGACCTTTACAAGAGATCCTTCCTGCTCACAGCCAAAGTTATTTATTTTGTACATGAACGATCTGGTTGATGCGTCAGGGCTTTTGAAGTGCGTTTTATTTGCAGGTGATACCACATTCTTTTTGTTCGAGTGAACGGATGTTAGAGATGATACAGGCAGAATTCGTAAAAATACAAACTTGGTTCCAACTTAATAAGTTATCATTAAATTTGGAAAAAAACAAACCACATATTTAGTAATAGAAAGAAAATTATCGAAGTCTCATTTAAAACCGACAGTATTGAAATTCATAGAGGTAATGGAATAAAATGTTGGGGTGTTATTGATGAGAAGCTAACGTGGAAATCTCATGTAAATAATCTAATAAAAATATCAAAATCAGTTACATTACTGTGTAAAGTAAAAGAGTATTTGAATGACAAAGCTTTGTATATATTGTATAATGTAATGATTGTTCCATATTTAATCTATTGTATTGAAGTTTGGGGAAAAGCATGCAAAACAATTATAAATCTTATTTTTATTTTACAAAAAAGAGCTATAAGAATTATTAATAGGAAGTGCTATGGTCACCCAACAAATGTATTATTACATCATTTGAAATTATTAAAATTTTATGATTTGGTTGAATATAGTATTTTACAAGTCATGTATAAAGCTCATAAAATATTACCCCCAAATATTCAATTATAATCTATTAAAAAAAAGAGAGTCATTAAAACCTTAAGGGAATGGAAATGTTTGTAAAACCTCCATTTAGAACTAGTGTGAAGGAGCTGCGTTGTAATTCAGAGAACAGGATTGTGGAATTGTCTTCATAAAAAAATTCCAAAACGATTTATTTGTTTAAAAAGACGATTAAGTTAAAATTGGGGATTGTTCAAGCCTGAGTTGTTGTTTGTATTATTTTTTTTTTAATAAGGGGCAGATATTATAAGAATATTTTTTCTTCTTTCTGCACCCTTTTCACTCAATCTATTTTTTTTTTGTGTGTGATGAATTTGTTTTGTTACTTTTGTTTCTTTTAAATGAATGAATAAATAAAACAATCTGCACTTCTCTTTTGTCCTGCCTTATCCTAAACCCACACAAAAAAAACTTTAAATGAAAAGGTTATATTTACATGATTGCGCATTCTTAAATATTTAGATCCTACAAATTCTCCTTTACATAATAAAGTTTAATGTAATTCAACATTTTAGCCGGCAGGGGGCGACAATTCACCAGACAACACCGCGCAGGTGAAGCGCTATGATCCGCACGTGACCACGCACGTGCCTGAGAGCCACTTTCTCACCTCCATTTAAGCCCAAATTGTATTATTCATAAACAAGAACAAATCTATGATGACAAATAGATGTTAAGCTCAACTCTGACCTTTAAAATATACCAAAGCAACATGTTATTGTGTTGGATAATTAAAGTAAGATGGCATCACGTGACATTTATTCTATAATTAATTTGCAAATATGTATTTTTTTTATTTTTATTTTTTTAAAGAGGGAATGAAGTGCTGAAAACAAAATAATTTCAGCAGACTGACTTGTGCTCCACCTCTGAGAAGTGACTGGTGTTTTCTCCAGCTGGTCTCGGTTCGGCCCATCTTGTGACACTCTGCCACCAACCGGAAGCGCGGAATGATTTCTCCAAACGCAACAAGGGACGGCTAAAAAAAATAAAATAATAAAATAAATCAAAGGAGCTCTTAATGATCATCCATTCACCCAAACAGGATTTATTTTTAAAGGTGGACTGTTTACATCTCTAATTGACTCGCCATCTTGTTGGGGAAAAAAAAAAACAGGATTATTTATTTGGAAATGGGCTCTACCTTCAGGGTCCCCACCTGCTGGGCACCGTAATGGTGGTAAGTACTCATAAATTATTATTTTCGACTCTGACACTGGATTTATTTTCAGATATACCGAGCTTTTACTTCATTTGAACCCCGAGAAGACGTTTAAAAACAAAAAAAAGCGGAGAAACACCGTGTAACGTCAGAGGTGTTGTGTTCAATTTGGTCTTCATTTTATTTTCCTCCGATATTCCTCCGCTAATTGCGCGCGCGATAAGCATACACAGTCGATGAAACCGGATTTAACCGCGCTTAAAACGAAATACATATATATATATATGTGTGTTTTTTTTTAAGGTTGTAGCCTTAACAGTGGAGCCAAATTAACAATAAACAATTAAAATAAAGGAGGGAGGGGGGCATCTAGTCGTGACAAACAAAACAAGCTGCAGGGGGGAATTTAATCGACGTGCTGGCCCTTTTTAATTTTAAATTTGTTTATAATTTCTCAAACGGACATTTACTGCGGTTTCGAACACCTGTTGAGGTGACAGGAGGGGGGTAAAATAACCCCCCCGGGTCTATTTTTGGATAAGGAGCACATCTGGTGAAGACACGCCCAGACGCGTTTCCCCCACAAGTCGTTTTTGTTTACAACACCACGTCTTGTCAAAAATGGTCGTCGCGCTCTAGGCGGGAACCACCTCACATCTTGAAGGTGAAGCTCTCCTGGGGCGGTTTCAGGAGCTCCGGGTTCGGTTCGTTTGGTGGCAACCGGTTTCCAGGAGGAGGAGGAGGATTAGGTGGGAGGAGTGGGGGGGTGAAGGGTGGCTGCTACCGCCGCTGAAGCGGAACCTTCAGCCTCGGCTCCCGGTGTTCGTGCTCCTCGCAGATGCTTCGAGGGTCGGAGGCTTCACCAACATGGCGACAGCTGCCGCGGGCCCAGCAGCTCCCCCTGAAACCGTGACTGGTAAGGTACCGTTTGAACCCCCAGTACCACCATTAACTCCCATTACCCACTCTGTTTATACCTGAGGGCTGTACTGGCTCACAATGGGGTGGAAAACCTCGTCGTGGGGGTCTTTAAAGTGATATTAAACACATCTGTATACTTGTACATCTGTATATATACGTACATCTATATACAGTATATATGTACATCATCTGTATATACAGATGTACATGTATACACATCTGTATGTACATCATCTGTATATACAGATGTACATGTATACACATCTGTGTATATATA